ACTGAAAAGGGAAGAGCGGCCACGGGCCCAGGGAAAAGGGGGTCAAACGCGACGACCACGGCGACGACGACGACAAGGACGAAAACGATCTCGAAGACGACGACGTCGAGTCAAATAGAACAGCGTCTTCCACACGCCGAAAAATGTCGGTTGATTTTGTACCACATATGTTGCACTACATAGATTGCCCCACATAAGTTGCACAGCGCGTGTTGCTAGAAGAACACTCTTTGGGGTCCACGCTGGCAAGCGCATGTGGTGCAATGTAGGTGGTGCAACCTATGCTGTGCAATACGTGGTGTGCAATCTATGTTGTGCACGTTATGTGGTGCGATCTGCGTGTTGCAACCTATGTGAGGCAACCGGTGTGGTGCAAGCCACGTTGTGCAATATAGGTTGTGCAATTTTCCGTGTTTGCGATCCATGTGGTGCAATCTATCTTGTGCAGTTCACCAATGCTCAACTTGAAGTTGTCCACGTCACTGCTCGCGCAAACATCCCACCCACCCACCCGCAACTGGGTTTGCAAACCTCATACGGCAGCGATTGCGATGAGTGCTTGGTGATGGCTGGTGCACCTCTGCGGCCGCGCTAGCCCGCGCATGCTCGCGCGCGCAGCGGCCAGCTACTTTGGTTCGGCCGACGCAAACGCGGTGGCGCTGACCGCTCGGCACATCCAAGCGGCAACTTCAGTGCGAGTCGGCGACTTGGGCGGGCGCCGTATTATGGCAACGTCGACAACGGTAGCCACGGTGATGATAGTAGCGATGCTGGTGGCGGTGCTGACAGCGACGACGGGGCAGCCAGTGACGGCGCCGATGCTGATCACGCCGACGACGATGAAGGCGTCTTCGCATCGGTGATGAAGGTTTTGGAAAGAGTTCGAAGTGCGCGCGCGGCAGACGCGCGAGAATGGCCCGCATGGTATTATTCGACACGGGCTGTGCCACCCCAGCACGCGCGCAAGGGCGTTCGAACGATTTCGACATGCGCGCGCGCGATGGTCGCTTGGTACCATGTTATGAAACAAGGTTGAAACAGTTATGTTTTTTTTTTTTTTGCATTTTGCAAGAATTCGCAAGAGCGCGCGCACGCTTTTGTTGAATATCCGCGTTGTAAAACCATCTAGATAGACTATGTAGAAATGTTTGTTGGGCAGCCGACTTTGAAACCCTTCCGAACCGAAGGTTTTTGAAGGATTTCGGCATGCGCGAGGGACTACGCGCGCGTGTGCACTACGTCCCGTCTGTTGCAAGGGATTCTTGAAACCTTCTGATTCTTGATAAACGGGTGTGCGCGCATAGTACGTTTTGCACGGGAGCCGAGGTGGGGGCCCATACCGGTTTTGCTGGGGCCGTACGAGTTCACAGGTAGGATGGACATTGCGTCAGAATCGCATGTGTTTTGCATAGTTTCCCGGGGGATCGACAAGTCGGGGGAGGGAGGGTGGTAGAGCGTATCTCCTTTTTTAGAAAGGAGAATCTATGTGGTGCAATGCGCGGGGTACAGTTTATGCGAAGCATTCAATGTGGTGCCAAACAGGTGGTGCAACCAGTGTGGTGCAACCTACATTGTGCGATCTACTTAGTGCGCAATCCATGTGGTGCAGTCTATGTGGTGGACTGTATGTTGTGCAATTTATGTGGTGCGCAACTAATTTTTACCCATGATGTGACACACCTCATGCTCTTGCAAACGTCCCACCCACCCACCCGCAATTTGGTTTGCAAAACCTCTTAGGACCGTGACGGTAGGTTCCACATGGCACTTGGCAGCGACACCAGCGCCGACGACGACGACGACAACGCCGACGACGATTACGACGACACCGACGACGTCTCCGAGGACTTCGACGACGACGACAACGACGACGACGACACCGACGACGACGACGACGCCGACGACGCCGACGACGACGACGACGACGATGACGACGCCGACGACGACGCCGACGACGACGACGACGTCGACGACGCCGACGACGACGACGACGTCGACGACGACGACGACGACGACGGCGGCGACGACGACGACGCCGACGTCGACGACGACGACGACGACGCCGACGCCGACGCCGACGCCGACCCCGACGACGACGACGACGACGTCGCCAACGAAGGCGACGACGACGAGCGAGGAGGGAGCACGACGACGGCGACAACGACGACAACGACGAGGGAGGAGGGAGGACGGCGACGACGCGAACGACGAAGAAGGAGGGAGACGCCGACGACAACGACGAGGGAGGAGGGAAGACGACGACGACGACGACGGCGGCGAAATAGGTGGGACGACGACGAGATGCCGACGACGGACGACGACGACGCTGGAGGAGGAGGAAAGACGACCACGGTGACAACGACGACGGAAACGACCACGACGCCAAAGAGGACGACGACGACGACGAACACGATGAAGGACAGAGGACGACGTAGGCGACGACGACGACGACGCGGGAGGAGGGAGGACGGCGACGACGACGACGACGCTGACGACGACGCAAGAGCGCGCGCGCACGCTTTTGTGGAAAACCCGTGTTGCGAAACCTTATGTTTTTTTGTAGGCTTTTTGGACACATGATTTTGAAATTCCTTCCGAAACCGATGGGTTTTGAAGGATTTCGGCATACGCGCGCGACGACGCACGCGTCTGCATTTTTTTTGGCAGAGGATTCTCGCGACGGCACACGCGCAAGGGCGTTCGACAGATTTCGACATGCGCGCGCGCGAAGCCCGTTTGGTAGGATTTAGCAAATATCTGGAACAAAAATATGGTTTTGTTAAGATTTCGCAAGAGCTCGCGCGTCAGCTTTTTTTCGCAAATCAGTGTTGCGAAACCCCGTGTTTTTGTATGTTGTTTTGGAACATCGATTGCGAAATCCTTCCGGCACCGAAGGTTTTTGAAGGGTTTCGGCATGCGCGCGCGACGGCGCGCGCGCGTGTGCACTTCGTCCCGTTTTTTTTTCTGCAAGGGATTCGTGAACAAGTGTTATGTTAGAACAAAAGATGTCCCCGCGTATCGTTTTTTTGTTTGTTTGTTTGTTTGTTCTTTTCTTCAAACAAAAAGGGAACCTCAGGGGGGCTGATCCCGGCCCTTCTGGGATTCATATTTAGGATGGACATGTGGTCCTAATCACACATGATTTACACACCCGAAGGGGGGGGGGACAACGCCGGGGTGGGGGTAGACTCTATTCTGTTTTTTGAAAGGAGAATCAATATGGGACGGCGACGGGGCGGCACAAGCGGCAACAGGCGCGGCGACCGACAGACAGGCCCAGACGACGGGCGTCGACGAGGCGGCGACGGGGCGGCGACGGCGGCAACAAACGCGGCGACCGATAGACAGGCCCAGACGACGGGCGGCGACGGGGCGGCGACGGCGGCAACATAGCCGCCAGACCGACAGACAGGCCTAGTTCCCTAGAGGAGAAGTAAGAACCCTTAAGTGCAAGCACTGTTTGGGGAACAGGTCGACATCCTTGGCTTTGGCATGGCAATATGAGGGTGTTCTGCAGTCATCTCAGCCGCAGATGGCAGCAGCGCACGAGCGATCTACGTTCAATATGCTGTGACGGTAAGATCGAAATGCGGTAGTAATCAATTCCAGATGCGGTAGCACTGACACTGCGATGAGGAGGGAATGGTTTCATCAGGCGGCGGCAATGATCTCCAGATGCGGTTGCAATCAGTTTCAGGTGCGGTGGCAATCAAATCACGATGCGGTGGCAATCCACTCGATATGTGGTGGCAGTGAAGCCGCGATGCGTTAGCAATGAACTACATGTGCTGTGGCAGTTTGCAGAAGGGAGAAGGAAAGGAGCATCAGTGACAAGCTGCCGTTGGTAGCCCGTCAGTATGTTCCACGTTTGTTTTTATCCGAAGGCCCGGTGTCGGTGCCTGGGTTATTGGTGTGAAGACTGCTGGATGTTCGTTGGGATCTCCTGGGAGGCCTCTCGGGGGCCTCTTGGAGGCAGAGTTTTGAAGCCCCTTGGGGGCCGTCTGGGGGCCTCTGGGGGCCTCTTTTGGTCCTCTTGGGGGCCTCTTGGGGCCTCTTCTGGGCCTTTTGGGGGCCTCTTGGAGCCTGTTGGGCGCATCTTGGGGCGTCCTTGGGGCCTGTTGGGGCGGAAGCCTGCGATTTTCGGTTCGTGTTCCCTCTCTTGGCCGTCTTGGGGCCCTCATGGGCCGTCTTGGGGGCCTCTTGGGCCGTCTAAGGACGCTCTCAGGCCGTCTGGGGGCCCTCTTGGAGGCCTCTTGGGCCGGCCTCTTGGCCATCTTCGAGCGTCAGAAAACAGAAAAGGCGGGAACGCCGCAATCCTTCAAACACCTAAGGCAAATCAATGATTTTTGCTTCCTGGGGCCCTTTGGAGGATCCTCTTGGAGCGCTCTTGGGGCGTCTTGGAGGCCTCTTGGGCAGTTTTGGAGCCATCTTGCGCGTCTTGGAGCGATGTTGGGCTGTAGGCGGCCTGGGTGGGCTTCCTGGGCTGTCATGGAAGCCTTGGAGAGCCACAGGGATGCGCGATGGCCGCCCAGGACGGACCCCCAGTAGGGGCGACGGAGTCGACGAAGCGCTACCAGGGGGTTGGGGGGGCCCTTAGAAGACTACAGGAGCCTGCCAGGCAGCCGTTGGCACTCGTCCACGTCTCCGCGTGCTGTAGGCACGGTGGCAGATTGTTTTTGCTCCTTCTTTTCATTAGGGCCGCGCGGAGTTCACCTCTGCTCGGTCGATGTGCCGACCTGGCTCGGCAAGCCTTGGAAGCTCGCACTGGCTGTTGCTGGCCCTCTGGTCCCGGGCCTATACCCGAAGACGGAAAAATGACAACAGCGATGATGACAGCGACGATGACGATGACAACAACGAGGACGGCGATGATGATGACGATGACGATGACGATGAGGACAACGATGACGACGATGGCAGTGAAATCACACCGCTCCAGTGGCATCCGCTACGTGCGGGGGCAGTGAAATGACACCGCTCCGCCGCCGCCCCACCCGAAGGAGCACTGGGAGGCGCTTGACAGCCTCGTGGCAGGCGGGAGCCCCCCGCGCCCGCCTGATATTCCTCGCCGGCCTCGTCGTCGTCGTCGTTCGCGTCGTCGTTTTCGTCGTTGTTTCCGTCGTCGTCGTTTTCGTCGTCGTCGTTGTCTTCGTCGTCGTCGTTTTCGTCGTTTTCGTCGTCGTCGTTGTTGTCGTCGTTTTCGTCGTCGTCATTGTCTTCGTCGTTTTTGTCGTCGTCGTATCCGTCGCCGTTTTCGTCGTCACTTTCGTCGTCGTCATCATCTTCGTCGTCGTCGATGTCGTTTTCGTCGTCATCGTCGTTTTCGTCGTTGCTTTCGTCGTTGTTGGGGTCGTCGTCGTCGTCTTCGTCGTCATTTTCGTCGTCGTCGGTTTCGTCGTCGTCGGTTTCGTCGTCGTCGTTTTCGTCGTCATTTTCGTTGTCGGTTTCGTCGTCGTCGTTTTCGTCGTCGTCGCCGTCGTCGTCGTCGTCGTCGTCGTCGTTTCCGTCGCCGTTTTCGTCGTCGCTTTCGTCGTGGTCGTCGTTTTCGTCGTCGTCGTTTTCGTCGTCGTCGTTTTCGTTGTCGTCGTCGAATTTCGTCGTCGTCGTCGTCGTTTTCGTCGTCTTCGTCGTCGTCGTTTTCGTCGTCGTATTCGTCGTCGTTTTCGTTGTCGTTGTCGTCGTGCTCGTCGTCGTCGCCGTTTTCGTCGTCGTCGTCGTCGCCGTTTTCGTCGTCGTGTTCGTCGTCTTCGTCGTCGTTTTCGTCGTCGTCGTGGCCGTCGTTTTCGTCGTTTTCGTCGTCGTCGTCAACGTCGGTTTCGTCGTTGTTGTTTCCGTCGTCTTGGTCGTCGTTTTCGTTGTCGTCGTCGTCGCTTTCGTCGTCGTCTTCGTCGTCGTCGTCGTTTTCGTCGTCGTCGCCGTCGTCGTCGTCGTCGTTTCCGTCGCCGTTTTCGTCGTCGTTTTCGTCGTCGTCGTTATCGTCGTTGTTTTCGTCGTCATCGGATCCGTCGTCTTCGTTTTCGTCGTCGTCGTTTATGCTGTCTTCGTCGTCGTCGTCGCCGTTTCGTCGTTTTCGTTATCGTTTTCGTCGTTTTCGTCGTCGTCGTCGTCGTGTTCGTCGTTGTCGTTTTCGTCTTCGTCGTCGTTGTCGTCGTCGTGGTCGCTGTTTTTGTCGTCGTCTTCGTCGTCGTCGTCTTGTTCGTCGTCGTTTTCGTCGTCGTCGTCGTCTTCGTCGCCGTCGTCGATGTTTTCGTTGTCGCCGTTTTCGTCCTCGTCGTTTTCGTTCCCGTTTTCGTCGCCGTTTTCGTCGTCGTCGTCGTCGTTTGCGCCTTCGGTTTCTTTGTCGTCGTCGTCGTCGTGTTCGTCGTCGTCATCGGTTTCGTCGCCGTCGTCGTTTTCGTTGTCGCCGTTTTGGTCGTCTTGTTTGTCGTCGGTTTTCGTAGTTTTTTTTTTTTTTTTTTTTTTTGTCGTCGTCGTCGCTATCGTCGTTGTCTTCGTCGTCGTCGTCGTCGTTGTCGTTGTCTTTTTTTGTCGCCGTCGGTGTCGCTGTCGTCGTTTCCGTCGTCGTCGTCATTTTCGTCATCGTTTTCGTCGTCGGTTTCTGTGTCGTCGTCGTCGCTGTCGTTTTTGTCGTCGTCGTCATCGTTGTCGTCGTTTTCGTCGTCGTCGTCGTTTTCGTCGTTCTTGTCGTCGTCGTCGTCGTGGTCGTCGTCGTTTTCGTCGTCGTCTTCGTCGTCGTCGTTTTCGTCGTCGTTGTCGTCGTAGTTTTCGTCGTTGTCGTCGTTTTCGTTGTCTTTGTCGTCGTCGTCGTTTTCGTCGTCGTCGTCTTCGTCATCTTAGTCGTTTCCGTCGTCGTTTTCGTCGTCATCGTAGTCGTCTTTGTCGACGCTTTCGTCGTCTTGTTTGTCGTCGTCGTCGTGGCCGTCGTCGGCGTCATTTTCGTCGCCGTCGTCGTTTTCGTGGTAGCCGTCTTCGTCGTCGTGTTCGTCGTCTTCGTCGTTGTTGTCGTTCTCGAAGTCGTCGTCGTCTTCGTTTTCACCGTCGCCGTTTTCGTCGTCGTCGTCGTTGTCGTTTTTGTCGTCGCTGTTTTCGTCGTCGTCGTTGTCGACGTCGTGTTCGTCGTCGTCGTCGTCGTCGTCTTCGTCGTCCTTGTCGTCGTCGTTTTCGTCGTTGTCGTCGTCGTCATGCTCGTCGTCGTCGTCGTCGTCGTCGCCGTTTTCGCCGTCGTCGTTGTTTTCGTAGTCGTTGTCTTTTTCGTCAACGTCGTTTTCGTCGTCGTTGTCGTCCTTTTTTGTAGTCGTCGTCGTTTTCGTCATCGTCATCTTTTTCGTCGTCATCGTTTTCATCGTTTTCGTCGTTTTCGTCGTCGTCGTCTTCGTTGTCGTCATCGCCTTCGTCGTCGTTTTCGTTGTTGTTTTCGTCGTCGTCGTTGTTGTCGTCGTCGTCGATTTCGTCTTCCTCGTCGTCGTTTTCGTCGTTTTCGTCGTCTTCGTCGTCGTGTTCGTCGTCGTCGTCTTCTTTTTTGTCGTCATCGTTTTTGTCTTCGGCGCTTTCGTCGTAGTCGTTTTCGTCGTCGCTATTTTCGTCGTCGTCGTCTTCGTCGTTGTTTTCGTAGTCGTCGTCGTTTTTGTCGTCGTCGTCGTCGTTTCCGTCGTCGTTTTCGTCGTCAGTGTCGTCGTCTTCGTCGTCGTGTTCGTCGTCGCTTTCGTCGTCGTTTTCGTCGTCGTCGTCGTTATCGGTGTTGTTGTCGTCGTTGTCGTCATCGTTTTCGTTCCCGTTTTCGCCGCCGTTTTCGTCGTCGTCGTCTTCGCCGTCGTTTTCGTCGTCGTGGTGGTCGTCTTCGTGGTCGTTTTCGTCGTTGTCGTTCTCGTCGTCGTTTTCGTCGTCGTCGTCGTTCTCGTCGTCGTGTTCGTCATCGCTTTCGTCGTCGTGTTCGTCATCGCCGTTTTCGTTGTCGTCGTAGTCGTATTCGTTTTCGTCGTCTTCGTCGTTGTTTTCGTCGTCGCCGCTTTCGTCGTCGTCGTAGTCGTTTTCGTCGTCGTTCTCGTCGTCGCCTTTTTCGTCGTCGTCGTCGTTCCGTAGCCATTTTGGCTCAAGATGCCTAGTTCCGCAGGGGAACAAGTGGATACCGCTAGTCCGCGGCCAGTGCCAGGGCTCGTGAGCCCGACAGCTTTCAACTCCCCGTGTGCCTCCTGCTGCCCGCAGGTGAGCTCTCTCCTCATCCCTCACCAGACATGTCCAAGCCTGGCTATGTCAAGTGTGCGGCGTGCTCGTGCAATTGGACGTGGAAAGGCAAAGACAGGTGCTTCAGTTGTGGCAAGTCGCTCGAGCTGGCGGTCACTCCGTGGCGCAGCCAGCAGCCGCGCGGGGCCTGGGACACGCGTGTGCAGGCTGCGTTGCAGGACGAGCAGGCGGGCTGGCATGACGGCTGGAAGCCATGGAGCGCCTGGCCCAAGTCCAAGGGTGGCCGCAAGCGGCAGCCACAGTCACAACCCTCGTCCAAGCCGCCCGACGCCGAGCCGACGGACACTGACGCCCTCTTGGCCATGCTGGACAAATCTCTTTCGGATGAGGCCCGCGCTGAGCTGGCACTCTTCAAAGACAAGATCGCACCGCCCAAGCCAGCTCAGCAGGAATCACTCGACGCGAAGTACCAACGCCTCCTTGCAGCTGAACGTAAGGCAGCGGCAGCACTTACGAAGGCGGCAACCTCGGAGAGCAAGGCCAAGGAGTGGGTCGTCCAATGCGAGGCCCACACTCAGCACTGCGCGGAGGCCCTCGGTGACGCCCAGGCCGCGGTGCAGGAGACCCTCGATGCGATCAACGAGGCTCGCGGCACGCGGGCGCCCTCGGCGTTCAAGTCGACGGCAGGCGGCCTCAACCTCAGCAAGCTCCTCCTCAGCGGGGAGGACCTCGCCTTTGAAGAGGGCGAGGCCTTTGACACCTCCGACCTTGAGCTCGACGCCGAGGACGCCAAGAAGTGGGCCGACCTCAAGCAGCAATTCCTCGACGAGCTCAAGACGAAGGTCAAGGAGGTCTTCGGCTCAGGCGCCACGGCTATCCAGCAGCGCAAGCAAGAGCTGGAAGCCTTGCGCAGCAGGCTCCGCGCCAAGCGGCCTCGCACCGAGGCTGACGGCAGTGGGACTCAGGCCGCCGAGGCGGGCGCGGGCAGCGCCGCGACACCACCCGCTGCTGCAGCTGATGGTGGTGATGGCGGTCGCCCTGGCCCTGAGGCTGCATCTCCTGCCGCTGCGTCTGCCGCCGCTCCTGCCGCAGCCAGTGCAGCAAAGCGATCGGATGCAGCCACCAAGCTTGCCGAGGCGGCAAGGGCTCGCGCCCGCGAGGAGCGAACCAAAGATAAGGAGGACATTTAGCCAGCCCAGCTTTCGCACGATCTATGTGCGGAACATTACCGACTGGGGGCCAAAGTGCAAGAAGATCGTCAAGTCCCCGCCGTTCCAGGCGGACATCCTCGGACTATTGGAGACGCATCAGAGCGAGCGCACCAGTGACGCTGTGCTTGCAGAGTTCGATGCATCAGCTTGGAAGGCAGTTATCTCACCGTCGCGAGCCGACGGCACAGTGCAGAAGGCAGGTGGAGTCGTCTTGGGAGCCCGACGCCACCTACAGTGTTCATCATTGGGCCACCTGGCCCGCTATCGCTACCAGACAAAGGGACAGTTGCGGCACAGGAAGCCAGAGCCCCACTTCGTCGCAGGGCCCATCGACTTCTGGGACTTCCAGGCGCTCACCATCCAGATGCAGCATGGCCAGCTCACGGTGCTCATCGTGTACCTCACCACATCCATCGGGGTGGCTGGCCAGAACCTTATCAAGCTACAGAACCTCGGAGCTGTCATCAAGAGTCTCACGGGGGACTGGATCGCGATTGGCGATTGGAACGTGGTACCAACGGAGCTGGAGGAGTCAGGATGGGTCAACTACGTCGACGGCCGCATCTGTAAGCCCTCCAACGTCTCGTTCACTCAGTTCACAGGTGGCCGCATGCTGGATTACGCGGTCATCGGAGGGCCAGG